TGATTTACGGCAAAAGATCTCCATCCGTTCGTCTGTGAACAATACTAGCGTCTAATCCAGGCCCGTCTAACTGCGCGCGCGTGAGCTCCTTGCCCACCTGAGGAGCCCGGGGCTTCTAAGGGCGCAGGCTACTTCCCCTGACTCCGCACTCACTTCCCCTTTCAATCCAGGAAAGGGTGGACACACGCGAGCTGGAGCGGCGCGACGCGGTGAATATTGACTTCATACGAACATATGTTTGCCACATTTTTTTCTATCAAATAATTTCGATTTTTTTATATTATTCACTACTTCTTACTATTTGGTGCTTCTTTTCTTACCAACTTACACGAACATCTTGACTAAGTGACCGGAATATATTTGAATGGCAAATTCTTTCGTTTTCGTTTTGTGTTGGGGTTTTAAATCATTCGGTTATTTAGTAATAATGTGAAATTGTGTGAATAAATTGTATTTAGCAATAATGTGAAATAAAATAGCAAGCCTCTATAAGTCAACAATTCTCGCTTACGAATGAACAGCGCTTTTATCAGACCAGACTATTTGTCTGTTAAATCTTCTAACATAAAATTAGCAAGTTCATGCTTTTATACCACTCTTAGTACAGAATTACAAAACCAAAATACTTCTGATACTGATTCTGATTCTGAGATACTTCGAAGTTGTTAATTTTATTCTCTAGAATTTGAAATCGGGCTGATCTATGTGACTGTGTGTATGGTGTGTGTGTGTGTGTGTGTGTGAGTGTGTGTTCGTGGGTAAGGGACAAAGGACAAAGAAAAGAAAGGAAGTATCGCGGCCGGTCCGATGCCCGTTTGTCAGTGTACTGCACCGGCATTCGTCTGGTGTTGATCGGAAAACTACTGATCAAACAAGCTAATTCAGGCTAGATTAAAAATAATGTTGATTATTTCATAAATTAATTGACATCTAGGGTAGGGTAAAATTATTTCCGGTATACCAAAATAATATTAATATTGAAATTTTTGCCAAAATACATTTAATTTACAATATAAATACTTTGTAAATAAATATTTAAACAATTACTCAAAATACATTAGGTTACGATTTGCAACAGATATATTTGAAAAATTCAATGTGAATTACGTCAATGTTGGTAATTAAACACATTAATAATTGACAGTGATACAAATTTCTGAACAATAACTCAAATATATATTTCAAATATAAAACGATATCAAATATATATATATATATATATATATATATATATATATATATATATATATATATATATATATATTATATATATATAATGTGATATAATAATGTTGCAGATTAGGTAATTAATGTTTGAGGAAAAATGATATGAAGCACTTCTCAAATTACTTTTTAAAATTTTCATAAAGACGACCTGCTCTCAATTATTGTAGAAAATGGTGAATGTCATATGCGAGTATTTACAAATTGCTTACCCTTGAAAGGAAATATGTCAAAAATTATACTATATTTAAATTCAGATGATTTTTCTTAATGTAACTAAACTAAAAAATCAACAAAAGTAAACAAACATTTTTCAGGTGTATCTGGGTTCATTGTTCCACAAACGTAATGGAAGCAAAAATTAGATCTATGGATTTTATTCTTTTTAAAGTATTTTATAAGTATTTCTTTTTTAATACTCTAACTTTATTCTTAAATATAACTCCAAAATACATCTCAAAAAAGCTCAAAATTACAGTTTTCAAATAAAAAATTTGTTATAATATTTCGTATACAAGTATTTAAATACTGACCTAACCTGTCGACATTGAATTTGTTTTTTCAGGAAAGCCAATGGAAGTATACGAACTGGCTGCTCGTTACACTACCGATGTTATTGCGATTTGCGCGTTTGGTATTAAAGGAAATAATTTGGAAGATCCCAAAGCAGAATTTCGTCGAATTTTGCGAGCAGTGTTTGAATTTTCTCCACGTCAAGCATTAGCAATGGCAACAGTTTTCTTGGCCCCTAAACTGACCAAATTATTACGTCTCAAAGTAATTGGTCATGAAGTGGAAAGCTTTGTGAGGAGCACAGTTGAAAAGGCCATAAAAGAAAGAGAAAATAAAAATGTTCAGCGAAATGATCTCCTGGACAGTTTGATTCAACTAATGAAATATGGCAGGATTTCTGAAGGAGAGGAAAACGTTGTGCACGAAAATTCTAAGAAACTGTGTAAGTACACCTGCACATATTATTGCTCATATCCCATTTTTTCGAAAAATTGGCAATACATTATTTGAAGATCTGTTTTTGTTGAACACATTTCATTAAGCAAATAGTGATTATCATTATAATTGTAGTTGTAGGAAGAAATTTTGATTTTTTGCAATTTTCCAAAAATTAGAATACTTAACGAACACGAGACCTTCACCATTCTCTTAATCGTTCTATACGCTATCTGAGGGCAAAATTTAATAGAAAATGTGCCATTTTTGAGAAAATATTGTTTAAATAAGAATTTAAAATTGCCTATATTTCACGCACAATTAAACGAAAAATACTCAATTTTTTTCAGGTAATAAAATAATATTTTAGTGGTATTCCCAGCACGGAACAAAGAGGATAAATGTTTATTATTATTTATTAATTTAATTCAATAACCGTTCCAGTTGGCAGTCCCAACATGGATCAGTGAAAGATAAATATTTATTAATTTAATACACCATAAATATAAGAACCGTTTTAACATGACTTTAGTTTGTGCAGCATAGCGTGATACAAATCATGATCTACTTTGAGTCTTTAATCAGGCTGTCAGGCGTGTTTAGATATTACAATTGTGACAACTTGCCTAGAACTCCTGTTTTATAGTAGCATAAAAATATCGTAGACTGAAAATCAACACTTTATTCTCTGTCAGGAAGTCCATTCCCAAAATAATCAAATAAAGCTTCCTAACTAGCGATGCAACAACTTTGTGCACGCGCTTCCCGATGCAAACTTCCAACATTACTTGCTTAGAAACGGGACTTGGCCTCTTCTGGGTGGCCCCAATTATGTTAGAAACGATTTACCGGCAACGTGGCAATGTTCCCTATCGTAGCAACTAACTTCTCGCAGTAATATACGGCGATAGCGCTTGATATACACCCCGAGTCAACTAGAGCTTCTATTTCCTCATTCAAACAGTACCGTGATAATCGGACACTTCCTACGAATCTTCTTACTGCTCTTTCTCTTCACTAATGGTCCATATTCGTAATAAATTACTACTTACTAATTGATTGGGACCTCATTAATCGATTGGTGTGTGATCGTATAGGGGTCACCCTTCAATTCAAACTACTCCCATTTAAAGTCCAGCTGTTGCCTATTCCGCCGGCACTTGCTTGTGATTCATTAACCTCCTCCCTCGTCGCTACCACATGCTTTCATTGCTTGCTCGCCTTTCCCCCGATCTCCAGCTTCTTGCTGCTTTCCATAAATTCCAGATCTTCCTTGTTTTTCTGATCACCCGAACCCGTCATCTACTTGCCCCATACCCTTCACGGGTTACCTGCTTGCTTAGATTTAGATTTATTTAGTCAAAAACCAGTAAAGACTGTGTGTGACGTGTGAGGGAGAAGATTATCTGCGCACGTTTTCTTCAGTTAAAAGATGAATAAAAGTTAAAATAAATAAATAAATATAAATTTTAAAAATACATTTTAGAAATCGCAAGATAAGCAATATTTTAAAAAAATAGACATTTTCGTTATCGAGTTATGGAAAACTTATTTGCATTCGTAAATGAATTGCAAGTATGATTTTTCTCCATTGCTAACAAAATAGTAACTCGCCCTTAACTCTACTCTTACCATTACAAGCAAGACGAGAGTTCAGCAAAACTTGCACATAATGATGCTATATTTATGTCCATAAACAAAATAAGGGGCCTTCTCGGCATTTGCTGAATGGATCAGAGAAAAGTGGACAAAAACCTGATCGAGATAAGGGACATTGACCCGGAAGCGCGAGTACATTATTTGTTACAAACATTAAGCCTTCTTAAAAAGTTCATTGCGTTCACGTTTACTTCACCCTTGTTCTTCGGAGCGTTGGCGAATGTCAAATCAGAACTTCCTAATACGTTCTGAAACTTCATCAGATCGGTATGGCACACTCTTCTTAGCAAATTTTGAATCGTTGATGGGAATTGTCTAGTTATTATACAATTTATTTCTTAGTCGCTTATAGGCGGTGACAATGATCTAAAATCCATAAATCGCCTGGTTGCATAGTCCATTTCTACCCCGCTGGATGGTTTGTAGAAACCATTCATCAAACTAATCTTAAGTTCAATTGGATATCCTCGCTCCAATATAGCTCGAAAAAGTTTTGTTTGAAATCTTACCCCGATGAAGGAAACGATTAGAGTATCTGCCCCTGTCCTCGCATTATCTTGTAACATTGATCAATGACTAGGGTTTTACTTTTATCTAGAACCTCACCGCCGAGTATGGCTCTACAGCTCTCATAAATGAAAACAGGTTTTCTTTCGCATTGCCCGAGAACTTTAATGATGTCGGGATCGACACATTTACGGGACCAACTACAATATTTGGTTCCGTTTTGACCTCCCTTAGACCTGCACCTCCATTAGTAATGATGATACTCTCCCCTTGTACTTCTTAACCTCCTCCTTTATTTCATCCTTATATAATTTGACCGACCCTTTTAACTCTTCTACCGTGGTTGATACTTCCCTCCTGCATACGTCAATAGCTCTAACGTAATGCGACAATCCTATCCGCCACACGGGCTCCGGCTGACTCTCTCCAGTTGCCGCCTCGCAATCCTCGCCGCTTCTCGCAAAATCTCGCGGGAAACCGGGTCCAGCTCGCGCTTATCACCCTGCAGTTCGCACCGAATCTAATATTTCGCTTATTTCTATTTATTAAGAGACCATTGGATCTCACAATGTATATAGGTGCGTGAACAATCATTATCAATTAAATTATTAACTTTTGAAGGGTCTGAACTATGTACATACTAACTTGAAATGTCTTTCCAGCTTTTGATGAGCGGGACGTGTGTGGTCAAGCGTTTGCGTTTTTAACGGCGGGGTTCGAGACTTCAGCCACGACCATCAGCTACGCTCTCTTCGAGATCGCCCAGCACAAAGACGTGCAAGACAAACTACGCAAGGAGCTTCAGAACGCAACGAGCGACGGGGACTTCTCCTACGAGACACTCCATGGATTGAAATATCTGGACATGGTGATGCAAGGTATGGTAATACGGAACTTTATATAATACTTTTCATATTGCAATTGGCGGCCTCTTAGTACCAACATCTCAACACAATTTTTTACCATCAGATTATACCTTCTTATATCTTATTTTGCATCTCGTATCTTACATCTTACAGTAACTGTTAAAACTGTGCGTTAATATTTTAATAAACTATGAAAATTTCAAAGATAAAGAAACTTTCAAGTGTAGTTCCTATGACTACATATGCTGTTGAATTTCATTACGATGATACATATGTTCAGTGTGGAAAGCACAATATTAGCCAGTATAAACAATGCGTGCGCAAGTGGAGTAGGGAAAATAATAATAATAATAATAATAATAATAATAATAATAATAATAATAATAATAATACACATATCTACCTGTTTCAAGCAGTTAAGTAAAGAGAAAATGCACATGATAGCTCTACTTTTGGACGTGAATTTTATGTAACAGAATTCTAGTATCACATTACAAATATCGTTAGTTAGCGAGCCTCGTGTCATGTTTAAACAGAGCGCAAAAACTTTTAGATGGAAAAATACCACAGTAATGTGTCAGACATTATTAGATAATATTTATATTATGGAATTATGCTTGGTTGATGTGATGTCACTTTGTGATGAGACGTTTAGTTTCTTTTTAAAACAAAACTTGTCTTTACTTAATTGATAGCCTTTTTCAATGTAATTATAAATCAGTTATTGTTACTTGTATGTTCAAATATAATACATTACATATAGAGCTACAAACAATAAAAAATTTAAATAATCAACACACACAGAACATTCCAAATAAATAATCAACAATATTAGAGATTCAAGTCAATTGCTAGGAATTCTTCGTAGTTGGAAAAATATTCTAAGGATTTGACAGCTCTTCACGGGATGGAAAATACTACTACCAGGGAAGATATTTTCAAAAGCTGAAGAATTGTCCAACTTAAGACTACTGCGGTAAATCAAATGTGTTTCTACTGGTGACGGAAGGAATCATCTTGAAACGAAGGAATCTCAGCAGAAAAAACTATAAATCAGTTGGAATGAAAAAAACAATATTTTTACTGTATCGTCTTAAATAGGTACTTCTTAAGAAGAAAAAGTTATGTAATGCTGTGGGAAAAACCAACGAATTTTCAGCAGAAAAACTTATTGCGGACACTGGTAACAGAAAAGTGGATAAATCTATTAGCTAATTTTAGGGGGACAAAAACGAACAATTAGTGTAGCCAAAATCCACGTTTTGTGGGTCTTTGATAACGACATCTTACAATGTTAATTCCAATTTCTATTTAACTTTATACAAACAGTGGTACTTGGAAAAATAAGGTCAATAAAACAAGCATTTAAATTATGAAACATTAAAGGTAGAGTGTGGAATAATTACAATCCTTCATATTTTGCATCGCCCAATAAATAAACATGAATAGACTCTATTTACATACGGTAGCCACGAATTATATTTTGGTAACATTACAATAATCTTGTGTAATACGATGTTTTCCATTGTATTTCAGAAACATTACGCAAATATCCTCCACTTCCGTTCCTCGACAGGAAGTGTAGCAAAGCGTACACTCTGCCTGGTACAGATGTTACGTTGGAAGCGGGATCTCGCATAATGGTGCCACTCCACGCGTTGCAAATGGACCCAGAATATCATCCCAATCCCAAAAAGTTTGATCCAGAAAGATTCTCCGAAGAGAACAAGAAGAATATTATCAACTACACACATATGCCCTTCGGCGAAGGGCCGCGAAACTGTGTCGGTGAGTATTCAAACACATCTCGTAATTTTTAAAAACTAGTTTATCCAAATAGAATAGGATAATTGCAATTACATTTATTTTAACGTTGTTAAAAAATGAGCAATCTTGTTTCAGGAATGCGTTTCGCCTTAATGCAAGTGAAATCTGCCCTAGCTCACCTACTGATGAAGTATACAATTCATCCATGCGACACCACACCCCAAGAAATTAAGTTCAACCCGCAATCATTTTTGCTGCAACCGAAGGATAAAATTCAGCTAGTTTTCAACCCGCTTTCCTAATTGCATGTGGATTATGAAAGGCGTTCTCTCTCCAAGGCAAACAATTGCATATTTTACTTAACTTGAAGCTGTAAAGTAAATACGAGTAAATTGAGTCCAGGAGTTTTATTTGACAGGTCAGAAAATTGGATTTTTAAGGTACCGGCCGCAATGCTGGTTGTTGAGAATTTCTTTCGACTCTAAGTTGTTTCAGAATAGTGTAAAGACTGCCCAAAGGAGAACTAATTTTCTTATCCTTCTTGAATAACAGTGCTACTTTTATCGTTGGAACCTTTGTCGGTTATTGCTTGTATCTTTGTCATCGGAAAAATGGGTAATCATAAGTGTTACTTTGTTAAAATAATTTCTAGAATTTCGTGCAATGAACCATGCATCCGACATGCTAACCATCAGTTCCAGCTCGGCCTAATGAGTCGTAAAGCACGCAAGTAGAAACATACTGTGTTAAGAACGTCCAACGAGCAAACTGAATAGGAGTAGTACTTTCGCTGGAAAAGGTTCATCATCAAAACAGTTTCAAGACAAAGAAATACATTGATATAGTTTGTAACGTTTTAAAAATTAAGATGTGTAAAATGAAAGTGTACATTTGTAAAGTCATTGTTGTGTAACGTGTGTATGTATGCGAGGTTTTCTACTTGTATTTGTTTCCTTTTTTAATTAATAAATGGCATCTCCAATGACGGCTCATGTTGTGAAATTCTCAGATTTAATCATTCAGAACCGACTCGTATCTCCTTCAACCCACAGCTGCTCACCTTTGATAGAACTCAAATGACGAGATATCAAACATTCCACAAAGGATATGCAACAATGTGCCCAGAGTAACCTTAGCGTGTTGTAGGTATCATACCACGTTTCATTACACTAACTATATTTACTTCTTGTTATCAAATATGAACTAAAGGTAATCCAACAGCACATTCTTCTCGCACTGACCCTAAATTTGCAATTTTCGAAAATTCAAAGAGTTCACCGAAAATGATTTATGGACCATTCTTTTAAACAACCCTTGCTCTCTCTAAAAAAAATTGAAGAAAATATTTGCAGCGGTTGTTGAGAAAATGTTTTTTTTTACAAACTGCATAAACTCCAAGCACATATTACGCAAAAAAATGCTCGTTTATTCAGAAAACTGTACATGACATTTTTTAAGAGATGATTTTTTAGAATACATTTTGTTTAAAGGTCTTCAATATTGTTATGTTGAAATGTTGAAATCTTGCAATTTTCGGAAATACAAAGAGTGCCATTCTTTTTAGTGTTCTTTGACACATACGACGGAAAAATTTAAAGAAAAAATTGGAACCGTTTTTGGGAAGATATTTGTTTCAAATTTGCCTTTATTTCAGAAGCCAACGCGAAAACTACACATATCTTCCAAAAATTGTACATTGCCTTATTTCAAGGTCTATCTTTAAAGAACAGATTTCATTCAGGAAAAAATCTGTCTTCAATGTTGTAATTATAGATAAACACTGAAGAAAATTAGAACTTTTGCCATTTTTGAAAAATCGAGTTTTATTGAAAATGTGACAGCACCATTCTCTTAAGCGTCTTAACGCTATTCGAGGACAAAGTTCAATCCAAAAATTTGGAGTCATTTTTGTGAAAAGTTTGAAAATGTTGGGGGCTTCATGTAAAGTATCCCAAAAATAAAAATATCCATTTCAAATGCCGAGAGAGAAGAGTTACTTTAATTCGACTAAAGAATATCAATTCTGGAGAAAATTGGCTAGAGAGTTCAGGCTCTAGCGTTGACCACAGACAGGAGGACGGACAGACACGTTTTGTCGTCAACTGATTTGTCGGTGTCAGAATCTCTCAAAAGATGAATGCCGCCAGCACAACGTTTTATATGAAATAATTTACTATGTACAGGAACAAGATTTACCCTCTTTTTCGAACCAGGGCCTGGCAATAAAAGTTTTTCTGTCAAAAATTCGTCATTTTCCGGCGCACAATCACAACGCTTTCTCTTCTTACGAAGTAAGGGAGAGAAAATAAAGTTCAGCACAATTCTTTCAAATTGTTTCGTATATTATACAATATCGCACAACATTCAATGAAACAACATGCATGACATTTCTATTATAAAGTAAAACACATACCAAGCCTATCTGTTAAGAGACTTGTACGAAACGCGTGTTCTAAACGAATTCAGGCACTACCGTTGTTTGCTAACTAAACGTTACGCTGACTAAATGTTACGCCATGTCCGGCGTAATTTGGCAACAGGGAGATGCCACCATCACCGATACCGCCACAACTTTGTTTCATTATAAAATATTTCTACTTTAACTTACGGAGTTCATGGTTTAAGGTAGGGTTATCATACTTCCTTTTCCCCCGATTATTTACAAAAGACGAAAAGTCCTCTTTTTTTTAAAAAAAAGAGGATATTACTTTTAAATGCAATGTCGTTCAATAAGTTGTTAGAAAAGAGTAGAAAAAAAACTTTTTGGGGGTAGATTTTTTTTACTTTTAAACAATCTCCATTCAGCTCTATACGTTATTCCAAACGGTTTTCCAATATTTTTTCAGTTGCCCAAAAAGTAGGATTTCGGAAGCTGCTCAAAATAGGCATTTGTTTGGGCGATAACTTCCTCGTTAGATGTAAACCTTTGTCTGTCAAGCCATTTCTTTAAGTTGGGAAATAGAAAAATTCACTGAGGCCAAGTCTGGTGAATACGGTGGATGCTGAAATAATTAATTTTGGCCATCGCAACTGCACAGGTCACCCGTGCACTGTCTTGATGAAAGAGAATATTTTTACTTTTCAGATGACTTTTCCCAGATTTCTTCGCTCAGCCAGTTCAATAATGACGGGGTTTGGTTGCAGTTCAATTGGTTTCTTTCTTTTTTTTCAAAGTAATTGATGTAGATCAGTCATGTCCAGGTCCTGAGCAAGGTAGCAAGCTTACTAGAGCTCCCGGGCACTGCGACCAGAGAAATTGACGCGAGGTTTAAAAGTAAGGGTTGAGCAAATGCTACGAAGTGGCGGTACGACTCTGGATACCTGAGCAATGACTCTTTTAAAGTCTCTACTTGACAGTTTTTGTTACAAATACTGTCACCTATGTTTCCTATATTAAATCTCATTTTCTCTTCAAGGCAAAGAACTTGTGCATTAAAGTGAAATAAAACATTCTCAATAGAGAGTAAAATAAAAAACTTTCAATCAAAAGTATCTTGATTTTGTAATCCTGTTTACTTAAGAGTGATAAAATCATGAACTTTCTATCATGAATCAGGTTAAAGGTTTAACAGACAAATATTCTTGTATATTATTAGCGCTTTCCGTCCGAAAGTGAGAATTGTTAACTTATAGAGACTTGTTTGTTTATTTAACACTATTGATAAGTAGAATAAATAAATGAATGAGTATACAATAACAAAAACGAATAAATTCGCCATACAAACTTAGTTCTGTCACTAAGCAAAGACGTTTATATAAAGGAGAATTTAGTAAGATTATATATCAAATAATAAGTGAAGAATATAGTTCTCAGTTATTTGATAGAAAAAAATGGCAAACATATTTTTAAGCCACTGTTTACCGCCTCAAGCCACTTCAGCTTGCACATGTGACCGAACCTCTTTTTAAGAAGTACCTTTCCGGATTTGTAGGGGTACCGAGTGCGGAGTCAGGGGCAGTTGCTCGCACCCATAGAAGCGCCGGGTGTCCCCGGCGGGCAAGTAGGTTTGGCATGTCTGATGCCTGATGTAGATGATTCTCCGAGTATGACGTTTGTTGAAAGGCAGACGTTTCGCCTGTCATGTCGCAGGCTTCCTCAGGGTTGTGACTAGCTTCCTCAGAGTAGTTCCTAAGGGTAGTTACTACCCTGAGGAAGCCTGCGACACGACGGTCGAAACGTCGGTTTCTCAGCCAACGACGCGGTTGTGTAGATTTGCCAAACCGCCGCGGTAGTGTAGAACGCGACGCGTAGATTAGACGAACACTCCAAATGACAGTGGCCGTAACTTTTCCGGCCGATTACAGTCTTCGGCTTCTTTGGGGCCCGTTCACCTTCAACAATCCACTGTTTTGATTGTTCTTTTGTCTCTATACTGTAGAGATGTATGTATGTTTCATCCACAGTGATGTATTGAGACCTCTCTCCGTTTCTAGGATCATTTGTTCCAGAAAGTTCTACAAATTTGTTGCAGAGGCGAGCATAAATAAGGATATTGAATGGGTTCGGTACTCTAACTGAAATTTTCGGGAACATCACAATGAAAATGATAGTACATTCCTTTCATACTTAATATAATAAAAAACTCCGATACAAATTGCATTGGGAGGCATTCAGGTTCACTTATATTTGAAAGTGAACCAAAAACGCTTTAAATTACACTATAAATTTTATAACATAAATGAGAGAGGGAGATGAAATATCAAGATCTGTATTAATCTTGTACTCGCACACCAATGAAAAATTTAGTATACTATAAGATGGGTAACATAAATTACACAATCAGGTGAAACAATGTTAGTATTAATCTTTCACACTCACACACCAATGAAAATTTAAACACACTACACATTGTGCAACCCAGTGAGGTGAAATACTAAGATTTGTTATTAGTCTTTCACAGTCACCCACCAATGAAAAATTAAAATCACTATAAACTTTGTAACAAATAATCCAGTGAGGTGAAATATTATTAAATGGCTTAAAGTTCATATATATAAACTTGTAAATCAAAATCCAATGAGAAAACCTTATAAAAATGTATGACATACAGACTTATTTTTGATTTTCTCAAACAACAATTCGATATCAATCATGTTACTTTGATGAAGTCGATGCCTTATTTAAAATATGAAATACTCTCGCTCTCTTTACCTAACAAATTCAAATAAAACCGTTCTTATTAATTTCTTGTACCACTTTCAATGTTAGTTGTATTCATTTTTGTTTTGTCACTCACTTCCATTCAGCGTGGCGGGGTAGCGCAGTATAACCTCACCAGCCGTCCACCATTCCTGAGTCCGGCTGCCAAAACAGAAACTCCTTCTCGCTTGGGCACTGGGTGGATGGTCCGCTCCTAGTCTGCCCTGCGTCGCGCTCACATCCGTTCTCCTCCACTACTTTCGGCCGAATCCTCAATAACCGCCCTGCCTCCTCGCCCCA